CACAATGTGAGTGGGCTGTGTGTGGGACTGAGTTTGTTGTGGCTCCTTGGACTGATGAAGTCCTTTGGATGAAGGACAAAACATCTAAAAAAGAAAGAAACTGTTCAGATGACCAGACTGAACTTTGTTGGATACTCGTGTTTTTCATTGCTTACATTTGATACAATAATATTCTTCGTATGTGTGTTTAGGGTCTTCCTAATTCATACGTGCTCACAGCCCCTAGGGGTCCCTCCCCAACCTCAGCCGAAACCCACTCCCATGAGTGCGTCTGAAGTGCACCTACCAGAACTGATGCAGTTTAAAAGGCAAAGGGTGGTTTAATTTAGATATCTCTAGGGTTCACCTTTGTGTTAGTGAAGATGTGCAGTCAAGAACTTTTACCCATAAAATATAAAATGGAACATTTATTTATTTACTTGACAACAATGTGTGGTTCTTTAATATAATACATTAACATAAATATTAGAGCAAAAACTCAATATTTTTTGTGTTACTTTCAGGGAAAACAAAACAAATGAGGATACATTTAGATCAGAAAATACTCCAAAGCTTGGTAATGCATTTTAATCATAAAATTGCAGCTTTCAAGATTTAGATCAAAGCCTCCATAACATTATTTGAGTAGTCATATCTGATAATAAAAGCACTGCATTTTAATGTGCCATCACTTTAATTACTCTAAGCTGTTTAGGCCTGTTTCTCCTTAGTATAAGTGAAGGACAGGTGGGAAGGGACTTTTAGGAAAATAATACATAAATAAAAGTAAAGTTTGATTGTGCCTTTGTTGCAGCCTGAAAGAGGATAATATGAGTAAAAGATACGTTGACAAGATGCTTCCATTCAGGCAGCTGTAGAGGGAAAATATTTATAATTCAAAACAATTACATAAGAACAATGTATAACTTTTCTCTTTAAAGCAAATCAAACATAAAATGTAAAAAAATATCGCTATAACATCATTTATTTAGCATCTTTCACACATGTCTTTACTCTGTTTCTTATATTGTTTTCAACAAAAATAAAATGTAAATGCTTATTTGCACAAAATAAAACAAATTAACCATTAATGTAATCATAACAGTCACATTTTCAGTCCTTGACTGTTTAATTCACCGAGCTGCATAATCTACACACAATGTAATGTGCTAATAACACATGTTTCATGGTGATACGTCGACAGCAAAGCTAATTAGCTTAAAACATTTTAAATCATGGTCATAAATGTCCATCACTCAATCAAACCACTCAACTTAAGGTGAAAATACGTAAAAACTCAACATAAAGTATTTACAAATGTTTTATGTAAATACACAGATATTCAGTAACTACTTGAAAGAGGATAATGTGAGTAAATGATACTCTGACACCATGCTTCCATTCAAGCTCCTCCTTCAGACCCAGCAGACATTAATTGATCATAGACTTGATCACTGTAAATGAGTCCTCGAGGCTCAATGGGATTAACCTGTCTAAATAAAGGCTGAATGAAAAAAAAGACATTCATCAGAACAGATCAGCAAATCAGTCATAACTATTCTTAAACTTACATTAATTTAACAATTGTTTTTAGTAAACTTTTTAACAGTGAAAGAGAGGAGTATGAAAGAGAGGAGATGGGAAAATAGGGAGATGCAACATAGAGTAAAGAGGGAGGTAGTAAAGGCAAAGCAGAAAGTGTATGATGAGTTGTATGGGAGGCTGGACACTAAAGAGGACTTGTACCGATTGGCAAGACAGAATGATCAGGCTGGAAAGGATGTGCAGCAGGTTAGGCTTGTTATGGTACTGTTCTAACAAGTGAGGAGAGTGTGATGGAAAGATGGAAGGAGTACTTTAAGGAGCTAATGAATGAAGAGAATGAAAGAGACAGAAGAGTAGAGGTCATAAAAACTGTGGACCTGGAAGTGAGAAAGATTAGTGAGGGTGAAGTCCGGAATATCTGAAAAGAATAAAGAAGGGGAAGGCAGTGGGACCTGGTGACATACGAGGTTAGGAAATGTCTCGGAGAGATGGCAGTGAGGTTTTTGACTCTAATATTCAATGGCATATTTGAGGGGAAGAAATGCATGAGGAATGGAGAAGAAGTGTGCTGGTGTCCATTTTTAAGATCAAGGGTGATGTACAGAGTTGTAGCAACTACAGGGGAATTAAGTTGATGAGCCACATGATGAAGATCTGGGAGAGAGTTGTGGAAGCTAGACTTAGACGAAAGGTGACTATTTGTGAGCAGCAGTATGGTTTCATGCAGAGAAAAAGCACCACAGATGCCATCTATGTTTTGAGAATGCTGATAGAGAAGTAAAGAGAGGGTCAGAAAGAACTCTATTGTGTCTTTGTGGATTTAGAAAAGCATATGACAGGGTGCCAAGGGAGGTGTGGTATTCTGGAGTAGCAGAGAAGTATGTTGGACTGGTACAGGACATGTATGAGGACAGCAGGACAGTGGTGAGATGTGCTGCAGGAGTGACAGACTGCTTCAAGGTGGAGGTGGGATGCATCAAAGATCGGCTCTGAACCCCTTTTTGTTTGCTCAGGTGATGGACCAGATGAGGTCAGGCAGACATCCTCGTGGAATTAGAGGGAAGCCGATGGAACAGTGATGCTACAAGAAGCAGAGGTCAAAAAGGTGCAGGACTTCAAGAACTTGGGGTCCACTATCCAGGAAAATGGAGAATGTGGTAAAGAGGTGGTAGCACAGTGGCACACTTGGTAGAGCTGCTGCCTCTCAGTGAGCAGGTTGCCCTGGTTCAAATCACGGTCCGGAGGTCTTTCTTGGTGGAGTTTGCATGTTCTCTCCGTGCATGCGTGGGTTTTCTCTGGGTACTCTGGTTTCCTCCCACAGACCAAAAACATGCATGTTAGACTGATTGATAACTCTAAATTGTCTCTAGGTGTGAGTGAGAGAGTGAATGTTTGTTTGTCTCTATGTGTCCCTGTGATGGACTTGCAACCTGTCCAGGGTGTCCCCTGCCTTTATTTCCCAGTTGTTCAACCTGTGCTGTACCTCTGATGACCTCATTCCTAATCTTATCCATTATTGTCACTCCTAAGAAGAACCTCAACATCTTCATTTCTGCCACTTCCAGTTATTTCTCCTGTTTTTGTTGTCAGTGCCTCTGTCTCCAGACCATACATAATAACTGGTTCACATCACTGTCTTGTAAACTTTTCCTTTGATCTTTGCTGACACTAATTTTGTTACAAATCACTCCTGAAACTTTTCTCCATCCACTCCATATTGCCTGGACTCTCTTTTTCACCTCTTTGCCCATCCAGCCATCCATTATCTTTACCTGCTTCTTCCTTTTTTGGGTTGCCGGTGTCCATGTCCAACAATCACTGTGCGAGAGTTAGAGAGGCCAGACTGAGATGGTTTGGACACATCCAGAGGAGGGATAGTGGGTATATTGGTAGAAGGATGTTAGAAATGCAGCTGCCAGGAACAGAGGAGATGTATGGATGCAGTTAGAGAGGACATAGAGGTAGCTGGAGTGAGGACAGAAGATGCAGAGGACAGAGTGAGATGGAGGAGGATGACTCGCTGTGGCGACCAATGAAGAGGGAAAAGCCGAAAGAAAAAGTTTTTAGTCAATGATTTAACAAGAATTTTTTTTTTAAATTTTATGTCACTACATCTATTTTCATTTACCTATTTAATTTGAACCAACTGCACTTTGAAATAAATCTCAATGTATCACACCTTCATCTGTGACAGAGGGCATACTGCACCCCATGGATGGTTTAAAAGGTCCCTGATGGGATCTTTGCATGTAGAGATTTTTATACCATCCAGTCAGTTTCATCTAAACCAATTGTCGTCATACTTTTTGATCCTCTGTCACGGACCGAAAAGGGGAATTGGAAATGCTCTCCCTTCCTTTCTCGATCTGTCCATGTGTGCATGTTGTGAGCGCAACAACTTGAAACATAAGTGAGGTATCGACTTTCATTTTGGTATGTGTCTGCATCTATGTGTAAGAAAGGTTCTTATCAAGAACTGGGTTACCACCTCAAATCCAACATGGACACCACTAT